CCAGCCTTTTTAATAACTTGTTTCTTTTTCTTGACACACTTCAAAGCTTGTCAAGTGGCTTGAGTTGGGCACGTCCCCATTTTACCACAACCTCCCCGTATTTCTTTGCCATAATGAATGCCTTAGCATGATTCCCATGGAACGTTTCATCTTCGAGAGTCACATGGCCATGGGCTAATTTGGGTGAAGGTTCCATCGACTCTGACAAAGCGCTCACACATGGCTTAGCATCACTTAGCTGAGATGCACAGGCATCTTCATTTTCCTCTGGCGCCAAACATTTTCCGTTGCACACTTTTAGGCCGAGAGCGCAAATGGGCGTATGTGTAATATTTCCATGCCACATTGCGTAGCCGCAGAACATAAAAAAATGTATGTTTGGTCAGAGACAAGAGCAGTTTGTAGAAAAGCGCAAAAAAAAGGAAGTTTGCCAAAAGAAATGTTTTCCTTTGAGAGTTTGATTCCGCTACATTTGAAAGCAGATTTGTGGCAGCCAGAAAAGAAGCAAATATTTGTCTTAGTTGGATGAGCACAGGAAACGGCAAATTCTAAGAAGAAATGAAAATATAAAGAGTAGGAAACATAAGGTTGCCCTATCGGAAGAACATTGTTTATTCCAACTAAATTTTTAAAATAATTTAAAACCCAGATTCAAAACAAAAATGCATACTTAACAAAAAAAACTTTTAGAACTTAAGAAAAATCTTTAAAATGTTGCATTTATCATGTAAATATTTTGATATTATCTATTTCCAAAAATTATAATTAAAAGCAAAACAAGAACAGTTTAAAATCATCTACAACTGCTTAAAATGTTCTACTCATCTTGTAAATATCTTTACCATTATGCATTTCTTGCAAAATCATCATGTCTTTGAGCATCTAAAATGTTTAATTGATCTTTTGTCATTCATAAAGTATTTAGCTCATTAAGAAATTCTGAAAGAATGCGTAATAAACAAAAAAAAAACAATTAAAACTATTTGGGTGATTAAAAAACATAAGAAGAATATATTAAAGTCGTCTCCAAATGTTTAAAATTTTGCATTCATCTGTAAATATCTTAGCCATTATGCATTTCCAGCAAAATATTCTTATCTTTAAGCATCTAAAATGTTTAATTGTTCTTTTGGCATTCATAAAGTATTTAGCTCATTAAGAAATTCTGAAAGAAATCCGCAAAACTCAGCGAACTCCCATAAATACGAGCACAAAGGAGTGCCAAAAGTTGTGCCAAAACAAATGTACTCATTTGGCATTCAGCTACGAATTTCATTATTATGAAAACAAAGAGAGCAGGAAAACAAAGTGCAAGTTGAATCAAATATATTTTTGTTCAGAGTGTTTGTTCTAAAGCGTTTCTACTACTCAACGTGGAAAAAATTAAATCCTTTTTTGGATCCAAGATTATCCTACCATTTTGTGAGAGGAGTAGCAGCAGCAGAGAGCTGAGTGCAATCAGAGTATCCATAGCTCAGCGGGAATATCCTTTATTTGGCTATAATCCTTAATGGTTAATTTCACTAATTCTCTTCTAATTATGTTTTTTTTTTCGCAGTTAGTTTATTGCACGTTGGGTGAGTTTTTGCAGTTAATTACGAGGCTGTTCACTTGAGGGATAATGGCACATGACTGAGCCGCTCATGTGTCACGCGTGGCCGGAAAAGCGGCAACAACACTTTCACTTTTGGCCAGGATAATAGCATGACATCATCATCATCAGCCAGCTCAGGGCCAACATTTTTGCTTTATATCTTTTCTTTTTGGATGGCTATTTTGTTTTGTGGCACTTGGCCTGCCGGCTCTTCCTTTTTTCTTTTTTTTGTATCTTCTTCTTAAGCACTAGCACTTGAGGAAGCACTCGGATCGTTGGAGGAGAAAGCCACCGGTGGGCGGTGGGTGAATGACGTCGTAGGTTGACATATCCGGCAAAATATATCCTGCCAACGATTTGCCACGATTTCACCGTTCAACTTTCGCGCTCTACTTGGCTGACATTCGAAGTAGAAGCCGCCGCTGGGGAATCCCCTGATCCATTTCAGGCGAACGTCGAGATTCGACTGAAAGTGCACCGCAGGACATTCGGCATCCACGGCGGATGCTTGACGAAGTTCGATTGCGAGTACGGATACGAATGACTTCACAAGTAAACGCGAGTCCTTCGATTTTTGCAGCCGCGCTCACGTTCGAACCGTTGCGAAATCAGAAAGTACACTGAAGTCATCGCTCGTCCTGTCGCATCCTTTTTGTCAGGACTTCGCCAGGAAGTCGGCCCGAAAAGGGAAAACTCCGTCTATTAGGGAACTTCGCTATGTTGGCACACTTTCTGTCGGCATTTCAGTGGGCAACTTGTTTAAAAGCCATTGCTCGAAATGTTGAGAGCAGCTCGAAAACGAGGGGAATATGTTCTCTTATTTTTGGCAGGGGTAGATTTTCGGTGGTGAAAAGCATTTTTTAAGCTATGTTGGGGGTGGCAAAAGCGTTTTTATAGAACAGGATGTGTTTTGACTTTATGAACATTTGCCATAAAGGAAAAGCTTGTACAGGTTTGCACTGTGTATTTCTATTTGGGATATAACATTGACTATAAAACCAAGTTTCAGACTGTATTTATAAATATATTACAAGCCATTTTTATAACAAAAGGTTTCGTTCTATGAAGCTTTGAAGTAATTTTTGTTGAAAAGCTGACATCTACAACAATGTATCGCCTTGGTACAAACAAATGCTACAGACCTCACCGCAATCCATCTGTCAGATACCCCCAAACACAAATACTCATACACCGGATACGACTAGGACATACCAAACTGACTAATGCCCATTACATGGATAGAACACTTCCCAACACATGCCCATTCTGCCACCACTCCCCAATAGACATCCAACATATCATTATACACTGCCCTTCCTTATCCCAACTCAGATCAGAATCCTTCCAATCACTTAACCTTATCAACACCATCTCAAACCCAACTTGAAAAAGCCCAAATTAAGTTTAAAATTTGAATGTATATAAAAACGCTGTTAATCCCAAACCTCAGATGAGCTGAAGGCCTTAGCTGCTAGAGCTCTTAATTTAGTTAGCCTATAGTTTTAACTTTAAGCTAGCTTTATATATATTATATATTAAGCCAACTCAAGAATTCGCGTTTTTTCAATACCAGCCTCTTCTGAAGAATTTGCGGTTTCTCATATTTCTTCAACTTCATCAAAATAAAAAAAACTTTCCACTCCTTTAAAAGAAAACAAACAGGTTTTTCATGCACATATCGAAAAGCTTTATTCAGTGAATCCGGAGGTTGAAATCAGCCGTAGTAGACGTACGGAGAGCCATAGCCCACGGCCGGATAGCCGGCGGAGTAGAGAAACTGGGGCACCGGGGCGGGATTGGGATTGGGTCCTGGAGCGGGAACAGCCATGGCAACGGCCAGCAGGGCGGCGAGCAAGAGCAATACCTGTAAGAGCAAAAATCAGGTAACGATTACGACATCAAAGGCAAGTGTCCTGCGGCAAAAGCAACACTCACCAGCTTCAGCATGATGATAAAGAAAGGGGGTTAATACTCGACTTGACAAACAAAATCGAACTGCACTCGATGTTTGCTCGCTTGCAGCCTTTTATATTCACAAACATGGCCGATTTAAGGCGGATCTAAGCCGCCTTTAGCCACTCATTCGCATCGCTGACTGCATCGCATTTTGATATTCCATATGCATTCCCGGCCCGCCAAGTTTATGGCTCATTACGGCTGTTAACGCGTTCGCCTAATGCCTGCCAAATGTACTGGGCACAAAGAACGTTATTGTTTCTTAATCTGTTTGCCTGACGACATCGCCACCACCATCATCATCATCATCATCATCATTATCATCGGTAAGTATCTCCCTCTTCCGCCCAGAAATCCACTTTCCATACTAACCCACAACCCCAAAATCCCCAAAATGTGTGCCGTTCTTTTTGTCAACTCACTCTCCTTTCGTTGACTCTTTTTTATATCGGCTTTTGGTTTCGTTTTGGCCGGCGGCAAACATTTGGCTTCATTGTCAATTCGATCGATTTGGGAGTTTAAAAATACATGATTTTGCAATTTTATGCAATACACTTGCAGCCGGAATAGAAGTCGTTGAGATAAGAGGATTTTAATGGGAGGGAACCTTAACTCTTTATAGATTTTTAAATTTCTTGATCAAAGAGCTGAGGTCATGAAAAATTATATGTGTAATAGTTGTACATAATGTAATAATAGTGAAATATAATAATCAATATTAACAATAAAAAAATGTTATTTTTAGATGAGATTAGCATTGTAAGTTGTAGTTTTTCGTTTGTTATTAAGAAAGGAATTTTTATGTTTTTAATAATAAATAAATATTAATATGTAAAGTTACAATATTAGTTCTTAATTTTCACTTTTTTTCTATAAGGGTTCCTTTAAATAATACGCAGTTAGTAAAGTTCTGGAATTTTTTTCTTTAATTGCGAATCAAAAAATGGATTAAAAAACAAACTTTCAATCAACTCATGCGCAATTTTTTACCAATAACAAATACTAATTACATATACCTCCAAACAATTGTCATCTTGACAAAAATCGCATCAAACACAAAATAGTCCCCAATCTCATTCGGTACACCCGACAATGTCTACAAGTCATTAATCACCTAAATGGTAGCCCAAATTTGAGACCGCAAATTCCCAATTAAAATGCAATAAGCGTAGTTAGAAATATTCTCCATTCTAAGGCTGAAATCACGTTCAAGGCCAGTCTATATCTAACCGATTCCATCATCAGAGATCGGACAAAATAAAAGAAGTCATTAGAATGCGAAGGAAATTTTTGTTGACAAAAACTATCGCTGTAAAAATAAAAGCAAAAATCTTTGGGCCGAATGATGTGAGCAAAATAAAAGTTGTCATAAATCCGATCAGAGTCCAGAAGTGCGACTTAATAAATAAGTCATGAGTGCGAATTTCGGTCGACTGGCAGAGGACTATATAAGACCGCTGACAAGTGAGGAGCAGCATCAAATCACAAATTGCAATCGCTACACAAGCAACTCAAGTCCTCAATATAAAAAAAAACAAAATGTTCAAGCTGGTGAGTTGAATCGGAATAAAACCAGATCCTTGTTCAAAATTAATTGTGATTAAAGTGTTAAATTAAATACAAGTTAAATAGAAATAAATTTTAAAAAATATTTCACAGCTCCATAAACCAATTTTAAAAACAATTAAGAAAATAATTTCTAAATTTTATAAATATCATCAACATTTAATATATTTACCACTTCTTTTCCTCTTCTAGCTGGTTGTTGTCTTCGCCGCCCTCTTCGCCGTTGCCCTGGCTGTTCCCGCACCAGTTCCTCGTGCCAATCCCGCTCCAATCCCGATTGCCAGCCCCGAACCCGCACCCCAGTTCTACTACGGAGCCAGCCCATACGCCTATTCCGGCGGATACTACGCTTCCCCCTACTCGTACTACGGCTAAGTGCTCCGGACATTGCAAACCAACAGACGACTCGTGATAATGCATCTGAATACGGATTACGGAATATGCGCGTGCTGGCAAATCAAATTAGTCATAAGTGCTTCAAAAAAGTAAAAAAAAAAATACAAAACTTGAAGAAATAAAATGTTGAAAAGCAAAATATCAACGATTTTTTATTACCATAAATCGGGGCTGGTAAAGAAAAGAAAAATTTTATAAATTAAAAAAACCAGCCCAAAGGGCCAACAAGAATTCTGAACTGCTTTGGTCGGCTGAACGACAAGCGGTTCCATGGTGTAATGGTTAGCACTCAGGACTCTGAATCCTGCGATCCGAGTTCAAATCTCGGTGGAACCTGATGGAAATCAATATTTTGTTTTTTTTTTATTAGAATTTTTTTAAAATTAAATTTAATTAATACTTGAGTTTGATTATTTACTTACTGTTTTTAATTCCTAATACATAATTTGATTACCTGCTCTAAGGTTTTCGAAACACGTTTAACTTATTTTCGTTTAGGAATTCAAAAGACCACTGAGAATTATTTAGAGCATAGGGTCAAGAAAATTTGTAATTTTAATATCGTTTCTTAAATAAAAAGTTAAAAAATATTTAGAAACATATAGGGCAAGACGCTTCGACAAGCCGGTGAGGATGAACTCTCAAACAGGGCTGTGTGAAAAAACTCAATTGATCTGCAAGGCTATGCAATGAGTATATCTTTTGTAATATTTATCTGAACGATTTTATTTTATAACAAGTCTAGTTTTTATAAATATTCAAAATTAAATAAATCAAAACATTCGCTTTATAACTTCTATGGGTTTTGACATCAGCCTATCAAGCGGTTCCATGGTGTAATGGTTAGCACTCAGGACTCTGAATCCTGCGATCCGAGTTCAAATCTCGGTGGAACCTGAGCTAAAATCTTTTTTCTTTTTTTTATTAAGCAAAATAAATTGAACTATGTTGAAGTACAAGCAACAATTATTTATATGGATTAGTAGTTAATTTTGTCTAAATAAAAACAAAGTGTGTGCTTAATCTTGGTGGTAGTATATGATGATAGGTTCGTGTCACCACTAAACAGCTGATTTTGGATATTATTGTGAATGGTAAAAGTAGATTTTTTTGGTATCAGAATGACAGTTGCAGCCAAAAACGAAGAAGAAGCAGCGCATTGCATTTATTTTTGCTCTCGCTGCATTTTTGCACATTGAGCTTTTTTCTGCATAAATCATTCAAAAACTAATTTCATTTAATACTCTTGATATTATGCTCGCCTTGTTTATCGCGTGTGGCTATGGATAGTGTTTACTTTGCTCGGTTACTCATTTTTCGTTCGTAGCGCCAAAATAAAAATTCTGGACTTTTGCTAGAAAGAGACGGTTGCGCATTTAATCGGGACTCTTGAGATTATGTTGAAGCGCTCGTTAAAGGTCCTAATTGCCGTGGTGTTGAGTTTGATGTTCACCGTTTCGCTGGTAAAGATAGTGCTATTGATTTGGTCCTCTCATCCCACCGCCTCCCACACTGCCCCGCCCCTCCCCTCCGTCGACGAATGGCTGGAATCGGAGAACCTATCGTCCTATAAGCAGTTATTCCGCGATAAAGGTGAGTTCGTAATAACTGATAATGTTGCCAAATCGGTTGATAGAGGCCCATTGTATTGTGTCTTATCGTAGGTTTAAGAACGTTGCCTCTGGCTTTTGTTTATATTTTTAATTTGTTGTATTTGCTGGTAAGGTCGGGTCTGTTCCCGTCTCTTTCTTTCCCGCCCACTGAAACTTTCGGTACTTTGTTGACGATTTGAGCTTTAAAAGCTTTCTCAACACACGTGCCGCGATATAAACTTGCTATTTTGTTTAGGTATCAAACAAACCGAACTGAATTTCATTTCTTAATTAAGTTTTGAATATAATGTTATTTTCTTTAGATTAAAAAAAAGAAAAAAGGATTTCTTGATCAGGTTCCACCGAGATTTGAACTCGGATCGCAGGATTCAGAGTCCTGAGTGCTAACCATTACACCATGGAACCTCGCTGATCTTGTGCTTTTCTAAAGAGTTCTATAAATAGTGCCCAAAACTTTTTATTGAGTTTTTATTTAATTAATATTAATTTTAGCCTTAAAGAAATAAGAAATAAATAGTTCTAAATGAAAAAAAAAACAAAAAAATCTGTAGTCTAGGTTCTACCGAGATTTGAACTCGGATCGCAGGATTCAGAGTCCTGAGTGCTAACCATTACACCATAGAACCTCTATGGGTGACGGCAGCAAAGTGGCAGTTTTCTAATGAATCTACCCAACTCAACCCCGAAGATCGCCGAAGAGAAAGTAGCTTAGTAGAAATTCCCATCTTTTTATAGGTCTGTGGGAGTTGTTATTGTTTTTTGTTGATTGGCACAACGCCAAAAGTTATTAAAAACGATGCCGTTGCTATGGCTAAAAAACTTGATAAACATGTCTTTGAACCCGAGGCGTTGGAATTGTTTAACCCCTGGTTACCCAGCGTGAAAGACACCTTAGTCTTCTATCTAACAATGGATTTAAAAAAAGAAATAGTGGTAATAGTAATGGGAATAGTAATTACCACCTTTATCGTATTTATAATGTAATTGCTTCCTTATTAGTAAGAACTTTTGGGAAATGTGTTTGTGATTATGTTTGTTTACCAGATTTAGTTTATTACTACCGAATGATATCATCCCAAAGTTTTACAAATGTGCTTGTATAAGATTGCATTTGAATAGCTTAAGTCTAAGCTCAAAAAACAATTAGGGAAAAAGGTGTTATGCAGGAATCTATTATATACTGGTTATTTCGTAATAATGAAATAAGCTAATTAGGCACTGGGTGCCGTGGCTAATGATAATGTAATTTTGATAAAGCGCGCCAAACAAAAAACAACCTGCTGGATTTGGCTGGGGTGTGAGAATAAAAAGGAGCAACCCAGGATGCAGCAAAAGCTCCTTAGTCCGAATTTGGTCCTCGTAAAGTTTCGGCTCTTTTCGCAGGACACGAGCGTTTTCTGTGTCACTCGGCTTCGGGTTTCTTTTCGGAGTTCGGCTTTCGGTATAAAATCAATCGTAAATGTCCTTAAATGCTCAGTTTTGGTTTTACTTTGAGCCGCGCTGGTTTCACGTTTCCAAACGCCTGGGAAACCGACGCGTTTTTCCCCCGTTTTTCTTTGGTACAACAGCAAAAACAAATAATACAAAAAAAAAAAATAAAACAGAAGAAACAGATAAAACCAATAACAAGCTGAATATAAATGGCCGAAAAACGCCAAAAGTTATGATTTGTTGTGTTACATCGCGTTCAGTTTTTTGGCTCATATATTACATTACCTTTCGTTTTTCCACGCAAAAGTTGTCAAAACATTTCGTGACAACGAGGACAATACAGCCACGAAAAAGAGCCCTAACCTACATAGGGCAGCACGTGTTTTTATTTGAAATCTCCCCCCATTGAGACACCCACTCAAAGCTAATGATCCATAGCTAATCTTTGCTACTACGCACTGGGTTGGGGTTCCAAATTAATGCATGCAGAAAGCAATTTTGCCCCTAACAATTTTCCACATTTTGGCATATTAATTTTTTATTGTTGGTGTGAACTGGGGAGTGAATTAACCCCCCTCCCTTCTTCGTCACACTTCAGTGCGCAGCTATTTTATAGGTCTCCTCAAACTCCACCAGGAATTGCCTCCGTTGTGTTTTCGGCTCGTGTGTTCCATTATCCTATCTAAATAAACTGACTGACTCATCTTCAGTTTGCTAAATGTGTGTGCACAGCGAAATGTTTCGCAATAAAAGAGAGGACAATTATGAAACAAAAATATTTTAACAAGATAAATACTTTGAATTTTCTTTCTTATAATTATATTAAATATTTAATTTTGTTAAGTTATATTTTGTATTACTTTAATCATTTATTCTTATAATTTTTAGAACTTCTTTTGATTTTTATTTTACAAAATGATTTAAATGACAAATTTGTTCTGCCAAAAAAAGAAAAAAACTTTTTCGAATTATTTCAATTATAACAAGTCTTTACTTTTCCTTGAAAATAAGTTATATTTTTTGTTACTTTATACATTTATTCTTATAATTTTCCAAAATGATTTTAATGACAAATTTCTTCTGCCGAAAAAGAAAAAAACTATTTTTTAAATAACAATTCTTTGTTGTCTTCCACATAAATTAAATAATTATTTGTTAATTTTTTTTTTATTTAACAGAGCTGGTATTGAACACTATGATTTTTGTTTCTTTGGTATTTCACCTGTCATTATACATATGTCGTTAATGTTATGGGTTTTTTTTTGGTTCGGACAGATCGACTTGCTCATTAAGAATTAATTGGCAATTAATGTTGATGACACTCGTCCCTTTCGGTTCTTACCATCACGCACTTGACCATGGACATGTCCACTCGCATTCTGGTTGTCGCACCTTTAATTTTCCTCCATTTTCCCCCCGCAATTTTCCTCTTCTACACACACGCGCTTAACCTTTAAATCGCATTTACTTTTGACCTGCATATTAATTAATGAGTTAACGGCACGACAGGAAAAAGGGGTCTTGTGCGGTCAATTATGCATAAAGTGGCATTTGGGGAATGATTTGTATAATATATGTATGTACCAATGGCTGGGGTCAGGTGAGGCCTGAGTTGTCCAGCCTGTTCTTACATAATGCTTGTGGAATTTATAAAGAATTATAAACAGTCGGATCTAATTAAAAATTTCAACAATTTTTAAATACATGTGTTCTAAGGTGCTAAAATTAGTGGATAACGTTATCTGTACAGATTAAAAATAAAGCAAAAAGGAAAAAATATATACATTTGTGAGACGCATTAAAATAAAAAAAGAATGTTACTCAGGTTCCACCGAGATTTGAACTCGGATCGCAGGATTCAGAGTCCTGAGTGCTAACCATTACACCATGGAACCGCGCTGATCACCCGCCGCGAAATCGCCCGCTTCAATTTCCGCTGCCGAAAATAGAGACCTCTGCCGAAGAAAGTGGATCGAGCTGAGATAGGCAAAAATAAAAGATTAAATCACTGAAAAACCAAACATTTACCCATTTCCATTAAGACAGAAATGCGAGTCGAACGAAATTGGTTGCCCAATCGAAGGAAGGAAAAGGC